ATCTGCCGGCACGTTTTTGGCTTCGCTCGCCCCGATAAAATGAAAGGTCGCTGCAAATCAATACAAAGTTGCTCTGATTGATCACAACATTCTGATCCTGATGAGACTTGCCTCTTCCAGGATGGCCATACCCTTTATCCACAGAATGGGTCACTGAATGGTTTGATGAAAGCGGCGTGAATCGTATGCTACAGCCTCACCAGACGTCGACACAATTGAGCACAGATATGAGATTTTGAACCCGTGTGTTCGACACGGCTTTCATCAAAACGCCAAATGAGGGGAAAATCTTTTGGAAAGACGTTGCTCCATCCCTCTAGTAGGAATCCCGGAGACGTTGAGAATCGATGCCAAGAAGCTGTTGTGGTGGACAAACGTCTAACTGGGAGACTTTATCTTCGTTTGCCCTCTAATTTGACAATCGTCTGCATGTCCAGCTGAACTAAATGGACATTAAAGCACACACTATTCAGGTTTTTTTTTTTTTTTTTAAAGTGAACCACTGATACAAATGATACCTTGGAAAAATGTCATACAGATGGTGCTGGCGGAAGATAATTTGCAAAAAATTGTAGCTGCAGCTGGCTTATCGCTAAATAGGCGTCTTGTAATGAGGCATTTTGAAGCGAAAGAACTGATTAATGATTAGGGTTTTGCCTTTAGTTGTCTGTCTCAGATACAAACACGTCACCTGATGTAACAGGTATTTTATCCAAACTCTGATATGAAGACAGGACCCATTACAACCACTCCAATTTCATGTTTGTCGTGTTCTCTCCGCGCTGTCAGGTTTTAATCTTCAATTCCACTAATAATGTGCGTCTCAAAATCGATGTCAGTCAGGACAGTAAATTCACTCCACAGTAACCAAAAACACTATTAGGAGGGATTATAATCATGAGGCACAAATCCATATCTAAAATACCTCAGAGCCTTTCTGCAGTCAAGGAAAAGTGAAGCAGAAATGGGACAAACCGGCGGCTGAAACGTCAGCGCGATGTCGTCAAAGCTGGCTTAACAGCAAATTCTAAAAAAAAATCATTACCTCCCACTGGGACTCAAATGGCCTGAATACGGAAGGAGTTAAACTTGTCATCAAGATTATTTTTAGCCTTTTTTTCTCAGAATCTGTGAGTAAACATGAGAGGAGAGTGTAGCTGCGAGACGTGAGACGATAACGTATTGAAGGAAATGAAGAGAGAAGAAAGTGGCACAATGTGAGCAACAGGCGGCTGATTTGTGATTTACTCATGAATGCTGCTGATAGACGTCAGTTAATGCTTGTCTATCTCATGCATGCAAAGCTCCCAGGTTGTGTAACATGACCACAAATACAGTCGTGACTCGACAATCCCACACTAAATGTAAAAGCTTCTTTTTTGTCGGACAGCAAGGCTGTCGGATCGAGATACGAGGAGGGCTTGATGCTTGAAGGATCATTTGTTGTTAATATTCGTTGTTCATAGTTGTTATAACAACTAGTAGGGCTGGTCCCAGTAGCACTTTCTGGGCTCCGGATATTTGGGCCCAATTAATGATGAGTATTCGGCGAGGTCGGTGGGGCACTTCCACCTGAGGGGGAGCGCTCCGACGGATGGAAGTGGCCAGAATGCACAGGCAGTATTTGGCTGCTGATGCTAGTTTAGTTAGCGGTCACAATTGTGTTTCCACCATCGGTGGCGGTGGGGGAGTGACAGATATGCTCCACCATTACCATCCATGTTTACTGTCGCAAACACTGAGCACGCTCGCTGTGTGTGACGTCGTCGTGTCCTCTTCTGCGCATGCGGGACACTTTTGGGTCGTATGAAGTTCACACAGCAGATCACATACAGTGTATTTGTATTTAATTTTACTTCTTTTATTTTGACAGGTAAGTTGGGACTCCCATCATATGGTGTGCTTTTGTTGTTGTTGTTGGTTAACCATCACCTTTGTTATAAAATCGCCCTGTATTGTAAATAAAATCGCTTTGGTTTGGCTGCTTCTGGTGAAGGACGCCATCTTCATGTTGCGTTCAGGACAGGCACCCCTAGTCTGGACGTAACGACAACTAGACTTCAGCTCCATACACACTGTTGCAGGAAGACGGAGCAGAATATTCTTATTTTTGTAACTTAGCAGTAAACTTTAAATTTTTAGTTCTTGAAAATAATGACGGCACCGGCTTGTTATTACTTAAACATATTTCTAGCCATATTCAAGTTCTTTGTACCGTAAGACACGCTGACGGGATACCTGAATGTACTTTAGGGCAGATGGTGAACGCCTTAATTAAGGTGGCAAATCATGAAACCACCTTCCTGGAAGTAATGTTTTTTTGTACAATTGTTTTAAGTTGATGCTTAATATTATTAAGCTTTAAATAGCGAGGGACAGATTATTATTTTGGATCAGTTATGAAACTAGATAATACTGTCCAGCAGATTTATTTTTATTTATTTTTATAAAAAAGAGAAGAGAAAAAGAGACTTGTACAAAATAAGTCCACCCTCATTACTCATTATTGGTAAAGTGATGCCTTTAAGGAACTCAAAGCACCAGCTTAAGTTTAAACTACTTTGTGACAACTTTTTAAAACAAGACCCTTAAACGGTAACTCACTTAGCGCACATTCGCTCCGTTAAAAGGGCCGTTTAAATCCAACTATAATAAAAATATCATTATTTCTGCCATCTCTCTCCATCTTATATTCTCTAGGCTTTCTCATTAAAAACCTTGTAACACAATAAAGCCAGGCAGCCTCAAGCCTTATAGGGATAAATCAATACGATTATCTTGTTGATTTTTCTTTACAATGAAGAAAAAAAACTGAAATATCTGAAAAAAAAAAAATTACTGTAATGGTTGTCTTAAGTGATTCCCCTTCCATCAGAACAAGGAGCATAGAATAGCAATACAGAGGTTGACAAGCAATTGCTCTGATTGATAGAGCAGTTTTCCCACATTAGCCAATTAAAAGTTTATGATCAATAATTCATTGTGCCCCAGAGTTTCTAACCAGCCCAGACGATATTGATCAGCAACATGATTAGTGAGCTGCTGTGTGATGTAACAGCAAGCCGCTGAAAACTGTAAAAGCCATCACTGCCCTCATAAAACTTTGAGCAATTTTCCAATTTATAGCTTGAGTAATCTCCTCATCCATTCAGCTTCACTGGGGGATGAAATGAAAGTAAAATAGAAAAAAAAACTAATAACTGATTATCAGCGGTAATTATGACTGGAAAACAGAAGCAATGTGAGAAGTATGTTCAATGCAATATAACTGGCCATTA